TAATTTTTCAAAGCCAAGATTTCTTCTTTCTGAATTAATCCAATCTCTGAATAATACGGAAATTCCTAGGCTGTCCTCTGCTAAGGAATGTCTATGATCTCCGATTTGAAATCCGTCCGTGCTAAAAGCACTCTCCGATGCTACTGATGATTCTTGAATAACAAGGATATCTCGGGCCATTATTGAAAGTGTTGGAAAAGCCTTCCCATGCTCCCTCCACCATACCAAAAGTTGTTCGTTGCCTTCTTCGTCTTTAATACTTTCCAATCCTTGATTAAGATAAGAATCAAGTTCATCATCAATGGAGGAATCAAAACCTGTTATATCATCCATATCTTCCCATAGAACTTCTACTCTAGACTTAGAAGTAGAAGAAGCAATTTCACCACCGGTTATTTCGATAGATTTATATTTATCAAACATTGATCTAACATAAGAATATATATTAGCTTGGCATTCTTCGAGAGATGGTTGTTCATTTTCTTGAATTGCTAAATTCTCATAAATTTTACGAACAAGTCCTTTTGCACCTCTTAATTTTAAAATGGGTTAAGTATAGTAGAAATTAAATAAACTTGGGGAATAGGGAAAAAATACTTTTTAAATTTTGCAATCGTTTCATTAATGGCCGGTGCATAAGTTGGATTAGTTTTATACTTACCAAATACAATAGAAATTTCACAAATATACCATAATATTTGTGTAATAGTAGGATAATATATACCAGAAAATTATTTTGTAGCATAATAAAAGTTTTCTAAAACTTTAGTAAGCTCTTTGATCTGATCCCAATCAGAATCAACAATTTGATCAGCGGGGATACCATTATGCATATTAAATACCTTTTGTATAGGCACCCGATAATCATAAGCAACTTTAAGTATTTCATAAGTAGAATTTCACCTAGTACAAATATCTTTTGGAACTTTTCTATATGGAAGGTTAGCACTAGCACATTGTTGAGCAAATTCACGAATTCTACTCGCTATATTAACACAAAAAATATAGCCGCAAACATGTTGTACTTTACTACAAGAATCAGAAAATAAATTAATACCATATTTTACAATCAAATTAAAAATATGGCATACACATCTAACATGAAAAATTATCGGATTAATTGGACAAAGTCTAGTTCTTAAGCTAGTTGTTGCAGTTGTGTTAGCAGAAGCATTATCTAAGGTGATAGTTAAAACTTTATCAATGAGTCCATAAAAATTAAGTATTTGTAGAACAGTAGTTTCAATATATGCTCCAGTGTGTTTTGAATCAACAAATTTATAACCAATAATACGTTTTTGCATGTTCAAGTGATGATCAACCCAATGACATATAACAGTTAAATAATCATAACCATTAAGACTACGACCTATATCAGATGTGATAGACACTTTACAATCTAAGTGAAAATACACAATGAATATACTGAAGATATTCGGTTTGAAATTTAAAAACATCATTTCTAACTGTAGTCTTAGGAAAACCTGAAAAAGCAGGATTATAAGTTTCGTGTATATAATGCACAAAAGCAGGGTGAGAAGGAAAAGTAAAAGGTAAGCCACAGACAGCCACCATTTTTGCTAAGTTCTCACGATCTCTATCTTTGTTATAGGGACGTAAAATAGTACCAGAAGCAGGGTCAAGCTGCTGTTGTAAAAAATTAGAACCCCCGCCAGATCCACTAGGAGTGCTAGTACCGGTGCTAGGATTCGGTATTTGTCCGGCTTCTATTTTAGCTTGTATCCATAAAGCTTTGTGGTCCCAACCTAAGTGCCTAGATAAACCCCTCGTCCCACTACTTTTGGTGTGCGCAAATCGTTGCTTACATATTTCACATGTAGCACGTTGATTGACTTTATCACGTTTAAAAAATTTTCATATAAGTGATGTTTTGGGACGTTCACCCTTAGGCTTACCCCTTACAGGAGGTACAGGGGGTAAAGCTCCAGACCGAGATTAACTCTGAGTTGGAGCTTGTGTTGCGGGACTAGTGGGTGTTTCATCTAATTCTTCTTCCTCATTTTCTTCATCCACATTTTCTTCGTCCTCAATAAAAATATCATTGCCAAATTGTCTTTGTAAAGTTTCATGATCTAGTTGTTCTCCGAAATTTAATATTATAACATGCGGGGGTTGAAAAAATGAAGTTTCATCAACATGAGTCATTTCATCTATATGTTTTCTAATTATAGGAGAAGGGCTAGGATTAGAATTACTACTACTTTCACCTTTACTATTTTTTTTAAATACGCCAAATACATTTTTAGGTGCCATAATTTAAATATGAAATTAAATTTAAAAAGTGAACACAAAATTAAAAACACAAATGAAATACGAAAATAGAACACGTAAAGTAAACACAAAAATTAAGCACTAAAATAATGCGCAAAAAATATATATTAAAATTAAGAGATGGAACGAGTGCACCGTGATTAAATATTGAAACTTGAAGAAATTGCTCAAAATATTGCTCCAAATACTTGACGAATTAATTTGAAACTTGAAAGTTGCTCCAAAAATTTGCCCAAATACTTGAAACTTATCACTTGATTGCGAAAAAATTGAGAGAATAATATAGATAGAATGTAAGAGATTTGAGAGAGAATGATTTATTTTTGTGAGAAAAAATAAAGAATGATGGAGGTATTTATAGTAGAAAATAGGGCCAAAGTGTAATTTAATAAACTTAGGGATTATATTAAAAGTTTGAGAGGTAGGAGGTGTTTTGGTTGGGGGAGCAAATATGGCCGTTTATAACCGTTGGGAACGGCNGGGGGGGGGGGGGGCAAATATGACCTTTTTTGCCGTTGGGAACGGCTATTTTTGCAATTATAGTCGTTGCCCAACGGCTATAATTCAAAAAGAAAAGGGACGCGGGACGGGACAGACGGGACGGGACGCAGTACGGGACGGCCCGTCCCGTTGGACAACCTTAGTTGTTTTTATCATTTATGCACGCCCCATTCTTAACACATAGGGGTGACAAAATGGTTAAAAGAACACCGTTAACCACCCATATTATCCACTAAAAAATGAGTTGGATAATGAACTTTTAAAAATGGGTCAAATATGGATAAAAACCATATTATCCATTTAGAAAATGGATAACTAATGAGTTTAACTTTTACATTTATAAAGTCTCATATTGGTGTTCCTCAAGTTTGGGAGACTAGGAATTCTCCCAAAAGTGTTCATATTCAAGATGTCATGAATAATATGGTTAACCCGTTTTTTATCCGTATTAAATATGATTCGGGTCGGATAATTTATCCGTTTTTTCTATTACCTGTTTTCGACCCGAACCATATCCAACCCGACACGCCCGTTTGCCACTCCTAATAACACAGATCCTTACTATTGCTAGAAACTTTTCAATTTTCATTTTGGAGAAGTTGTCATACTATCTTGATAAAGTATCCTTTGGGAAAGTTTATTCCAAGATGACCAACCTAGATTCATTCAATGTGGTGTTTGCTAAACAAAAAGTGTTGAAATTCTTTTACAAATTTTCAAACTTTCACTAGTTCTGGATAAGCCGATCTAATATCTAAAACCTAAACTTCCTTGAGAAAAATGACCTATGTGTTGCTATGTGCCTGTGTCCATCACTAGCTTGAAAAACTTACTTTTGGTTCATTGAGATTTCAGTTTGTTTGGATCCATATCCTCCCATATAAATCCACCCGCGTTTGATCGCGAATAAAATTCACTAGCATAACGCTACACACAACCAGATAGAACTGGATAATACCCAACATCGCCTATTAATATGTTTCTCTAAAATTACTCATTAATATCGTACCTCATACTGGTAAACTATTTAAAAGAAGTTAAGATCACAAAATCAGAGATCCTAAAGTTGTTCCTAGGGAGAATAGTGTTCATTGTTTCCTTCCCTTCCAAAATATACATAGGAGTTTAAAGTACTAAAGAAGTGAAACCATCTTAAATACCTTCAGCAGAAGTATATATAATGACATTGAACAAAAGTTTGGATCTACTAACCCTTTCGAACACACAAACATCACCTACTTTTAGGTTATTGTCCAGCACAAAATCCTTCCAACCGGAGGTCAACTTAGCGTTAGCTGGTCCAAGAATGCATTTCACAGCCCAGGATTTCTTGCTTGAAACTTGAAGTACTACATCACTATGTCTAGTGGCAAAAAATTTCCTAGCTCTTGACAGTGTTATGGACTGTCAATTTGAAGGATGCATTATTATACAGAACAAAAGATTCATCATTAATCAGGGATTAGCTTTAGGTCACTAAGATATTGAACTTCACGAGATATTCAAGAATAGCTATCTTACCAATCGCATCGGGCCGCAGGCAGAAGACACATATGATGGTTGCATGAAACATACGAAGAATGGATTTTCAGATTTAAAGGCTTTGGCTCTTTGATACGCTATAACCATTTCTTTGGCCACCACTCTGCCCTTACAAGAAGACTTAGATTGTTGCACATGCTTCCCAGCGTCTTCTGAATTCTCAGTTTTGATAATCTTGTTTTTACAATCAGAAACGTCTGGCAATTTTCCATCTATCTTATGCTTTGCTTTGCTCTCCGCTGCAGGAAATATAGTGGCATCTAAAATGGGCTTAGTTCCCTTAATCAATTCAAATACACAAACGTCACCAAATTTTAACTTATTGTCCAGCACGAAGGCCTTCCAACAGAAACGAATTTCTGCTTTTGATCTTCCAACGACGTATTTGACAGTCCAAGATCCTCTGCTAGGAACACGAAGCACTAAATTGCCACATTCCTCCGGGAAATATTTCCTTGCAAATAAGAACGATATGTGCTGCCAAAAGAGATGGACAGAGTAAAATAAGTATAATGGCATGCACCCATATGGATTAAATACAGATTAAAGTATAGGGGAAGTCTAAAAAGTTTATAGCTTACTAGATTGTATGGTTTCGAGACATATGATGGTTGCATAAAATATATAACAAATGGATTCTCAGATTTAAAAGCTCTTGCTCTTTGATATGCTATAGACCTTTTTTTCTCCAATACTGTCTTGTTCTTAGCTGAGACCAGCTTGGATTGTTGCTTGTGCATCCGGCAACTTTCTCCGCTTTCTTCAAACAGAAATTCAAAATCAAAGTATTACTACTAAATTGTCATGCACGTAGGTGATCATCAGTTATCAAGTCCGCTCATAGCCAGAATTTAAAAAGTTTCTTACTTTTAGTCTTTCTTGTGAAAGAAGGCGAAGCCACATTCTCTCGTGACTTTTCCACCTTGATACTTCTGGTGTGAATGTCAGTTGAAACATCATCCTCTGCGTCCCCTTCTAGTCCTTTTCTTTTGCTGCCATGTCCTGATGGACAATGGTCCAATATCTCAAGAGAATGCTCAATCTCAGTGCCTTCCCCATGATCTGAAGAAATTCAAGTCGATACAACTTTATCAAAACCATCAAGAAAATTAACTAGTAAAATAGACACTAAAATGTCAGCTTATGATCGTTTGGTATACTCCAGAATATCTTATAGAGAGATTTCAACTTTATCACCTTTAATTTTTAGTAGAAACCATATGAAACTTCTTTCAGCTGTTTTAATTACTTGGTATGAGCTACTTTGGGCTGAGTACATGGAACAGAATTATCAGTTTGAAAATCTTGTCTTTACTATCCGAAACCTCTGGCGCTTCTTGGCCATCTGTTTTATACACTGGTGTGCTCTCAGCTACTGGAAATATGGTAACATCTATGAAGAGCTTAGCGCCCTTAATCACTTCAAAACTATAAACATCACCAACTTTTTAACTTATTGTCCAGCACGAATGCCTCCCCTGCCGGGAACATGAAGAACTAAATCACCATATTTCTTGAGGAAATACTTCCTAGCAAATTTCAACGGTATGGATTGCCAAAGGAGATGGATCAGTACATTGATTTTTAGCTTGTAGCTTACTAGTGTGAAAGGAGAGTAGACGTATGAAGGTTTGCATAAAAGATACAATAAGTGAATTCTTGAATTTAAAAGTTTTTGCTCTTTGATATGCTATGTCCCACTCTTTGTCTATTACTATCTTGTTCAAACATTAAACTAAGATCATTGTGTCAATACTAAATGGGGTTAAGTTATATACAACTGACTTGTGTAAAGATTATATACACCATCAATGTAGTTTAACCTGTGACAGTAAGCAGTTACCATTCATCGAGTTACTAATTGATGCTTATTATAAAGATTACCGGGAGTTACCTAATAAGTGACTAGATTGTGTAAATATATTTTACGCCGTCAGTGCATGGAACTTAGACTTTATTAAATTATCATTTTTCAGTTCAGTTCATAGCCAAAAAGAGCAGATAAAATACTCACTTTGGCCCTCTCTTATGAAAGAAGGTGAAGCTACATCCTCTTGCAACTTCTCAACCTTCATTCTTTTGACATGCATGTCAACTGAAGCATCATGCTCTGCATCCCCTTTTTGTCTTTTTCTTTTGCTGGACTGTCCTAACGGACATTGGCCTAAGTTTTCAACAGAATGCTCAACCGTATCAGGAATTTTTGCTTTTGCTTTCTGGCTTCTAGGAATACCCTCCAGGATCTCTACAGAATCATCTGACCCGGACTGGTCTCTTTTTGGTGCATGGCGTGTTTCATGGCAATAGGAAATGGGAGTGTGTATACCATGAACAGAACTGTATGGATATTCGATTTCTGATGCACTCAAGTCAAATATAGTGACATTAAAATGGGAACGAGCATTGTATCCAAACATCAGAAAGTCGCCGCAGCTTATTGAATAGAAGTCACTGAAATCTTGCCATCCAATGCCTAGACAAATTCGGCCTTGAGAATGAACAACTTCAACCTCCCATACTTCTCCACTGGGAACCTCAAGATACACAGGGTTTAGCATGTTCTTGCAATATCTGCTCGCAAAGTCTTCCGGAATCCTCTGTGTGCAAAGGAGATCTAAACTCAGTTTCATACTTCTCGAATCACAGTAAAATATACCTGTTTTTCTTGAGAAAATCCTGCAATATACCTGCATAGTGTATTCTCTGTTCTTTCAGAATTAACTACTAAAACAAAAAATATCTACACTAATCTAATTATGCCAACTAGAAAAGATAGCAGATATTTCTGGATGTAATTAACCTGTGAATTGCAATATCTCAGTTTTACTATAGATTAGGAGAAAGATATGATTTCATTCTTCTATATCAGAAGATCTAAGCAACAGATGTGTGAAAATAAAACAATGTATTCTAATAATAACAATATATCTTCATAAAGTTGCTCATTCATACTATTAGTGAAGCCTTAACCCCTTAATGTAGCTACCTGACTCTTCCATAGAAGTCTATTCTTAAAAATTGACTGTGAAATTCCTATAACTTGTAGAAAACCATAGGCCTAAATTTGTTAACGACCTGTGTTAGTTTCTCCACTATACTCTTTTCCAAACTTTTATATTAACTTATTTCTCATTTTGTATCTTTGTCAGCAGACTGGCCCTCAAGTTTTTTCTAATGGATCTGCAACTACTAGCTATTTAAAAAGTACTGACTCTGTTTCATTTTCTCTAATGCTATTTACTTTTTTAGTACGTTAAAAAAAGAAAACACTTCCTATTTATGGAAAATAATAGCAGATGGATGTACACCAAAATCGTAAGCTCAACACCCCTACACACACAGAGAGAGAGAGAGAGAGAGAGGACATAAGGAAAATATTAATAGAAGGAAGAAAGTGGTTACTAGACGGCTGGATTCATGTTGGGAAAATATAATCTTGAAGAACTTTGGTTGAGTAATGTTAGTAGAAGATTTCCAATGGGAGGAGCCTTCATCACGTTGCAATTGGGGCTTAGCTGCCATGACTGATGTAATTCGCCAATTGAATTACTTTTTATCGTGAATTTGTGATACTTGAATTAACGAGAAAGACTAATCTCAGACTCTCTTCTAAAGAACTCATGCAGATTCCGTTAACCAACAAAGGATCTAAATCTCTATCTTAATTTGCTTTGCGTGAAGTCAAGACATGTGATTACAGGTGAAATAAGAAGAATCAAATGATACAAAAAGAAAATTATAGCTGATGCATGCACACCAAAATCTTTGGTTCAACACATCTACACACACATAGGACATAGATTCAAAATAGCAGCAAAAGAAGGGGAAAAATGGAAGAAGGAAGAAAGTGGTTACTAGACGGCTGCGTTCATGTTGGGATAATATAATCTTGAAGAACTTGGGTTGAGTAATGTTAGTAGAAGACTTCCAATGGGAAGAGCCTTCACCACTTTGTAGGTGGGGCTTAGCTGCCATGACTGATCTAAATTGCCAACTGAAGAAAATGGTAAAGTGATAGTAGAGCAACAGAGTTAGTTCCCTTTGTTTCTTAATTAATGCTTAATAGGTGCACAGTGGTAGGTAAATAAACATGCAAATATACCCTGTACTTTCGAAAATGATTTAAAAATACCCTTTGTTATACTATTGGGTTATTTATACCTCTGCGGTCATACTTTGGGTTCAAATATACCCCTCGTTTAAACGGAGGGACACATGTCATCGTCCTGTTGGCCAATTCTAAATATCTCCTAATTAATTAAAAAGACTCATTACTCATACCCGAAAAATAATTATTTTTTTTTTGTAAAAACTGGAAAAAACTAATTTTTTTTTTTACTAAAAACTGAAAAAATGATATTTTTGTAAAAACTTAAAAAAAACTGAAAAACAATTTTCTAAAGTAATTAAAAACTGGAAAAAATTGAAATATTTTTAACTAAAAAATAATTTTTTTTTTGTTTTTTCAGTTTTTACAAAAATATTGCTTTAGAAAATTGCTTCTGGACACGTATGTTGTATGTGTATCCCACATCAATAAATACAAACAATATAAATTGAAAGATTAATATCAAAAAAGAAAGAAAATCAAACCTTCATAAAAGAATAGTAAACATCAAGATGTAATTCTAAATAAATTAGTTTTTTTCAGTTTTTACAAAAAAAAAAAAATTCAGTCTGCAGTTTGTGAGCAAAACAATTAGTTTGGAAATGTTATTTAGGAGTTAAGCTAAATTGAATAAACGTTTTCCTATCCCATGATATTTATATTTTAAAATTTCAAATAATTATTTTCCACACAAGCAATGATGACATGAATAGACCTATGAGCAATTCAGTCTTAACAATCAATATTTTACAATAACTGCAAAGGTTAGTTATTAGTACGACTTTTGTAAATGTTAGCCATGATGAACATACCAAGACCAAATATTACGTCTGGTCCAAGATCATCATTAGAAAGAGTAAATATTCATGATATGACTATAATTGCAAGCATCTCAATTTTCCACCTAATCATTTAGAGAAAATTTAAAACACTAAATAAAAGAGCAAAAAATGTACAACACACCCATAAACAAACAATACAGACGTTTTAAGACTCAATTTCATGTTTTGGGTTTCACATACGTTAAAAACACTTTGTAACTCATCTAGAATGTTATCGATTTTTCAATTCTTCGCTTTTGTTATTTGATCTTTGTTCCTTGCATACACATCTTTTGCTACTTGCAAATGTTGAAGTACTGTGGATAATAACTTGACATAGGAATTTGATGGGTTATGGAAGCTAATTAAGAAAATCAAAGAGGAGGAAGAGTGGGAGGCTAATTAAGAGGTAGTATTAAAGAAGTAATTAATGATATATTAGACAACGGAAATAAGAAAAACAATGCGGTTAAGGGTCATATTTTCCCCTGTACTCTTTTTTAAAATGGTTATATTTATCCTTCGTTATACTTTTTTGATATATTTATCCTTATCGTTATACTTTAGGATCATATTTGTCCTTGTACTCTTCAAAAGGGTTATATTTGCCCTAACTTTTTTGACATATTGTCACGACCCAAAATCTCACCCGTCGTGATGGCACTTATCTCGATACTAGGCAAGCCGACAACATAAAATAACCCATAATTTCTTTTAAATACTGAAAACATAATAATTAAGTTTAAGAGTAAATCCCACAAACATTAGAAATAAACACACTCCCATAACCCGGTGTCACTAAGTACATGAGCATCTATACATTACAAGTCTGGAAAATCCGGTCTATAATAATCCGAGACCAAATACAATAAACAAAAGGATAGGGAAGGAAAGACAAGGTCTGCGAAACATGGCAGCTACCTCTGAATCTCTGAAAAATCGACTGTGTGAAAGAATCAACACCTACTGTATCCGGGATCACCTGGATCTGCACACGAAGTGCAGGGTATAGTATGAGTACAACCAACTTAGTAAGTAACAATAATAAATAAAGAACTGAAAGTAGTGACGAGCTTCTCAGCTAAGTCCAAATACAATACTTTCCAATATAAAAGATTAGGCATGCTCTCAAATTCGACATTAAAAATTTCACTCAAATTTCATATCAAATTTGACTGAAAGATAAAATAATATTTTTCCGAAATTTCCAAAATATTGATATATGATAGCTGAAATGCAACAAATAATGAAATCAATGCATCCTCTCAGAGTAATAGTCGCGCAGTCCTTCCATTCACTCCAACCTCACATTCACTCTTTCCTCCCAGTCACTCATCACTCGCCACTCGGCACTCGGCACTCGCACTCAGTAGGTACCTACGCTCACTGGGGGTGTGTACTGATTCTGGAGGGGCTCCTTTAGTCCAAGCACTATATCAAGCCAATCATGGCATATAACAATGAAACATGATGTGGCGCGCAGCTCGATCCCATAAATATCCTCACAATTAGGCCCTCAGCCTCGCTCAGTCATCAACCTCTCAGTCTTTACGGCTCATGATGTCATGAAATCTGCCCAAAAATGGTAATATGATGTATCAATAAATACCAACAGAGACTGAGATATGATATGAAATGAATGAACATGACTGAGTGTGAAATTATAATTTGGGCATATAATGCAACCACAGAAATGACCCCAGTGGATACCAATAATAGCATCATATGTCTTAGCATGATTTTTAATACGAGTCTTAGCTCAATTTTCTCTAACACGTAGATAATGTACGGATATCAACAGATAATTCAACTACACAGTTTCATGGAATTTGACCAAGTCACAATTCCTATGGTGCACGCCCACACGCCCGTCACCTAGCATGTGGGTCACCTCAAAACTAATCACATAACACAAAATTTGGGGTTTCATACCCTCAGGACCAAATTTAGAACTGTTACGTACTTCAAACTGTGTAATTCTTTATTCTGCAATGTCTTTGCATCGTGAGTTGGCCTCCAAACGCGTCGAATCTAGCGACAAATAATTCGATTCATTCAATAAAATTTATTGAAATTAATTCCATAAGAAAATACTAATTTTCCCACAAAATCTAAAATTTAGCCCAAAAATTGCCCGTGGGGCCCAAGTCTCGGAACCCGACAAAAGTTACAAAATCCGAAAGCCCATTCAACCACGAGTCTAACTGATCACAAGTGACTTACCTCAAGATTTCCCATGAAAACCTCGCTCAAAAATCGCCTCACCCACTCTTGGAAATGTCAAAAATTAATGACAAAATTTCTCTAACCCTTCTGTTTTGTACAGTGCCCAGTGCTTTCGCACCTGCGGCCATAATTTCCGCATTTGCGGTCACGCTTCTGCGGTGAAAATATCGCATCTGCGGAAGTCACTTAGCCTAACTGCCTCCGGTTTGCGAGCCTTGGACCATATCTGCGCCTTCGCAGGTGCGGAAAATTCCATCGCACCTGCGCAACATGAGCCGCATTTGCGGCATCGCACCTGCGGCCAATTTCTCGCAGGTGCGATCACACCAGAAAACAGAAATTTCTCAGATTTTTTCTAAGTCCGAATTTTATCCGTTAACCATCTGAAACTCACCCGAGACTCTCGGGACCTTAACCAAATACACCGACATGTCCTGAAATATCATACAAACTTAGTCGAGCCTTCAAATCACATCAAACAATACCAAAAACACGAATCACACATAGATTCAAGCCTAATGAACTTTGAAACTTCCAATTTCTAGAAACGACGTCGGAACCTATCAAATCATGTCCGATTGACCTCAAATTTTGCACACAAATCATAAATGACGTAACAGACCTATTCAAATTTCCAAAATCGGATTCCGACCCCGATATCAAAAAGTCAACTCCCCGGTCAAACTTTCCAAAAATTTAACTTTCGTCATTTCAAACCTAATTCCACTACGTACCTCCAAAAACTTTTTCGGGTACGCTCCTAAGTCCAAAATCACCATACAGAGCTATTGAAATTATCAAAATTCAAATCCGAGGTCGTTTGCACATAAGTCAACATCCGGTTAACTTTTCCAACTTAAGTTTTTAATAATGAGACTAACTGTCTCATTTTACTCTGAAATCTTTCCGGACCCGAACCAATTAACCCGGTAAGTCATGAAACAACTGTAAGGCATAAATTGAGCAGTAATTGAGGGAACAGGGTTATAATACTCAAAATGACCGCCCAGGTCGTTACATTCTCCTCCTCTTAAACAAACATTCATCATCGAACGGGTTTAGAATCATACCTGGAGTCTCAAATAGATGTGGATATTTGCTCCGCATCTCCTGCTCAATCTTCCAAGTAGCTTCTCCGACTGGCTGGCCTCTCCACTGTACCTTCACTGATGTTATGTTCTTTGACCTTAGCTTTCGAACCTGCCGGTCTAAAATAGCCACCAGCTCCACATCATAAGTCAAATTTCCGTCCAGCTGCACTGTACTGAAATCCAAAATATGAGATGGATCCCCGACATACTTTCGGAGCATAGATACATGGAATACTGGATGAACACCTGATAGACTAGGTGGCAAGGTAAGTTCATAAGCCACCACTCCAATTTTTAAAGTATCTCAAAAGGCCCAATATACCGAGGGCTCAACTTGCCCTTCTTCCCGAACCTCAACACACCCTTCATGGGTGAAATCTTGAGCCGAACCTTTTTCCCAACCATGTAAGCAACATCATAGACCTTCTAGTCGGCATAACTCTTCTCTCTAGACTGCGTCGTGTGAAGCCACTCCTGAATCAATTTAACCTTCTCCAAAGCATCCTAAACCAAATCAGTACCCAATAGCCTAGCCTCACCCGACTCAAACCAACCCACCGGGGACCGACACCGTCTCCTATATAAAGCCTCATACAGAGCCATCTGAATGCTCGATTGGTAGCTGTTATTGTAAGCAAACTCTGCCAGTGACATAAATTTATCCCAAGAACCTACAAAATCAATGACACAAGCGCGTAGCAT